TCCCCATCCCCGTGACAGAATCACGTCCCAACGTCCAAAGCACACTCCTGAAAAGATCCCAAGCGTGATCTTCACCACGCCCCCTTCTTTTGCCCGCACGTCAGTGCGCCTCGACCGAAACGTGAAACGTGCCCGGGCAGTGGAGGTATGGCGCCGAAAATCCAGCGCCACGCACTCATCTATCACTCTCGGTTCTCCGCTTTGAAATGACATTGTTGCCTTTCATCATCATCATCATCAATGGTCGATTATTCAAAGAGATCTGAAAGCAGGGTCGAGAGAGGGGGGAGGTCTGCCGCTGGGCTACACACACACCAGCAGGACGCCCGTGCAACATTGAAAAACTCTGAGCGCACTTGTGACTTGTAGCAGGACTATGCACACAAGAACAGGCCGCTCCACCAGAGGAGCGCCGGGCTAACATGCGCAGCTTAATGAAACTTTACGGAAACATCCTTGCCCGCCATCCGTGCCATGTGGCGAATCACGTCCTTCTTCGTGATAATGCCGACCAGCCGCGTGTCGTGCGTAACCATGACCTGCTTGACGCCCATGCGCCGGAAAAGCTCCACGACTGTCGTCATTGGAGTAATGTCGGGAATCACAAACACGTCCTACAACGACGCCGCATGGTTAGCGAGCCTGTGGTAGCCGGCTACGGCAGATGGCAAGGGCATGGCATGGCCCACCCACCTGCAGCAGAATGGATCCAAAGAACAGAGTGGTCGGCGCAAACTCGCTGGTCACCGCCGTTCCAAACCCATCGGCCTCCCGCAACATGTTCACTGGCGTGGCTGAGGTGACATCATCACGTTCAGCAAGCTTGTCTGTTGCACAAACCGGTCCGATCAATCAGATGTCTTCAAAAGCACCACGAAATTCGATCCCCTGCCTGATGCAAGACCTCTTTCACTCACCCAGGGCCTCCAAGAGATCGCTTCGCGCCACAAAACCTCGGATTTGCGGGTTCTCCTCAGACTGCACCACGGGATACCCTGCGTGATCATGTTTTTCCATGATCGTTTCTGCCACACACACACAACGCGGACAGGAAAGACGATGAAGGAGGGAACTAACGTGCGAGACCTGTATCGACCAAGACGATGCACCAAGAAGAAAAAAAAAAAAGAAAAAAGAAAAAAAAAAAAAACCAGGTGAGGGAATACCAACCCAAGTGCCCGATAGTCACGGATTCCGCGTTGATGCACACGGGCATGGTGTTGGTCTGGGGATCTGGCTGCATCACGTCCTTGGCCAGCGTCGGATGCTCAAAGGTATCCTTGTTCTCTAAAAACGGGTACCCGTTCAGCTCGATGTGCCGATCGTAAATGCCACTTGGATTGAAAGCATCGCCCGTCCTGCAGAGGCCGGATCAAGGTGATGCCAAAAGCCAGTGGTGAGTGCCCGATGTGTTGAGAGCGAGGTCAACCACAACAGTCCTGCCAACATCCCAAGCCGACACTTGCAAACGCACCACTTGCTGAACATGACACCAATCATCAGTGGTAGAATGTAAGTCAGGCCGCCCGTCAGCTCGAACATAATGACCACCAGAGATACTGTTTTCAAATCCGGTATAGGAAAGAATGAGCCATAGTCGCCGCATCAAGCACTTGGCACGCACACCAAGAGCAATCGCGCATGCCTACCGGTCATGCGAGTGACGCCGCCCAACGTAGCCGCAGCACCCACCATGGCGTATAAACCTACACAGAAACGCGCATCCAAGCCACCCCATCACCGTCACCGTCACCAAAAGTCGCGGTTGTTAAAAGACATACCCAAGCGAGCAACAAAAAAAGCAGAACAATCACGTGCCAGGTGTCACGCAAGTCTCAATGTCGGGACAAACTGAGGTAATGTAGTGGCTATTTTGATGGTCTCTACGGGTCACCATTTACCAATCAAGCCCAGCAGATGAGCCGCCATACCTGGCACGCAAAACATAAATGCAGGCGCCAGGCTCGTTGAGATGTCATACCGAACGATGCGCTCCATCAAGATGCCAACACAATGTCCTAGCGTGGCGCCCACGGTCATGCTTGGGATAAATAGACCCGAAGGTACCTAGGTCCCGTGACAGAAGCCCGCAGCGACTCAATGAGCTTTCCTCGCATCCATCCAAAACCCGACGAGGCCCGATGCACGACGGTTGTGCCTCGGTCGATACTGGCGACATCACCAACGTACGCGAACGCCGAAAGTAAAAACGGTGATAATGGCCTTGAAAAGACACGCCAACAAGAGCAGGGAGATGACGCCAATCTCGCGATCAGAACAGAGAGATGAAGTATCCTCCTTGTTGCATTCCGTGAAAAGTCGCTCGATCAATGCACTAGCTCCACCTCTAACCCGAAAAACGTCCCCGAGCACACGTCAGCTGAGACTAGGCCAGGCAAAAGAAAAGCATCCCACAATTCTAGATGGCGCGAGCTGGCACTCGCCAACCACGTAACCAACCGTGTAAACTCATTGGGAAAGGCTAAGAGCGCCGTGATGGAAGCGACGGCAACCACCTCGCTGACTGGGTACTTGCGCATGAAGCTAGTCTTGCGGAGCCGACACCACATGATGTTGGCCTGGTTGAAGAGCGCGCCATAGAGACCGCCCAAGATGCCCAGGAGAACAAAGGGAAGCATCTCAAACCAATGCCAGGGATAATCAAACTGCACGTAAAACTTGACCAGGTGGCCTGGCAAATCACCACAGCCCAACACCAGAATCACCAGCACATGAGCTGGAGTCCATGCAGCACCGCCCCAGTCGATGGAATGCATCAAAGAGCACACGGCAACAAGAGCTTCGACTAAACGAACCAGAGAGGAAAGGATTCAAGTTGGAAAGCGTTACCGCCGCCACCAAGGCTGCAAAAAAGGCTCGCCACATGGTTTTGTGAGGAAAGTAGTAGCTGACCTGAGTGGACGACCACACAAGCGCACACAACAAAGATTGTTGAGTTGTTTGAATGACATGCAGGCTTGGCGTGATTTTGGGCTGGCGTCGCAAGCACATACCTCCTCAAGACTGAAGAGGACGCCACCAACAGGCGCACCAAAGGCCACCGACACCCCAGCTGCTGACGCAGCCGAGAGGACCTCGCCTGCGAGAGAAGATGCAAGATTGACAAGCGGACGTCAAAGATGATCGACCGTGCCGGTGTCTGGGACCATGCGTATAAAACAGGCCAGTTGAGGGCGGGAAAGGGGGATCCGCTCGCAACGTACGCATCTTGGCTTCGTTGTGGCGATACTTTTCGAAAAATTGTGAAAAAACATAGCCACAGCAGCAAGCTACATGAACAAGAGGACCCTCCTTGCCCAGGCTCAGACCCGCTGAGACGGCGAGCACCATGCCGCACGCCTTGACGGCCAAGGTCCAGCCATCAAAGTAACCGCGAATGACAAAACCTCCAAGAATGGTTTTGACCTATCGGGAGTCAAGGCTGCCGTGTTGAGGTGGGGGACAAGGACTGCGACACCTACTCCCCCCCACTGTGACTTTGGGCAAAGCAGGCAAATAGCCCTCGCACCTCTGGAATACCGCTACCAGCCGCATAAGGGGCCAAACGGTTCACCAACAGGGCGCAGGAAAGGCCAAAGAGGAGCGAAAAGGAGAGGTAGAGAAAGTAGCCTGCGGCATAGCCAGCTGCGGCGTGGGAGGTATCGAGGGAAAGGTCAGAAGCATGCATCCCGAGTGAGTTTCAGGCTCGACCTTGAGTCACATGTGCGACAGCACGCAGCTTTGATGCCTTTGGACGCTACTGGGCAGGCGCAATGCCGAAGAATGTGAAGCAGAAGAGTACACTGACATTGACTCCAGCTGTGCCATTGCTGGCAGTCGTGATAGTTGATGGCGTCCATCTCTTCGGCCCAGCAGCACTGTTTACGGCTCAACCTGTGAAAACCACAACCCCGAGCACATGGCAAGTGCATGGGCGAATGAGGCAACGAGACGTCATGCCACGCCCGCGGGATATGGGTCAGAGCGGAAGATGACTTGGCACTGGCCCTACCAGAAGGCGCTTGGGCAATAGCCTTCCTTGATATCAGAAAGCCATTCAGCAGAAATATCAATGAGCCCGGCAATAAGACCCACAGCAGCGCCGATAATGGCCATTAGAAGCCAGCCGGAGATGGCATCGTATGCGCGCTGGTGCATGGGGCGTTGGCTGGGGTGGGGGCGCAGGACGAAGACATGAGAGAACGAGTGGTGTGTGTGGCGCTGCTGGCTCAGCATCCCAAAATTAAGGAAGCATCCGACAAATGTACCTGAGCACATTGCGTTTGCGCTTGAGCTCGTCGGCGGTATCGCGTGTCCAGTCAATGGTGCTAAAATCAGCGTAGCCGGCCCTGCGGATGGAGTCAAGTGTTGGGCGATTCTTGTGAGTGGGCGCCGTCAAGAGGCTGTGGACAAGACCCTCCTCCATTGGGGATGAAAATTTGTCCATGCAGCGATGGCAACGAGCGCCAGCAACGCCAGGTTGTAGTTGAGCGTCGGTGGGGCCCCAGCCATTTCGAGCGTTCCACGGGCTCCGGAGCTCGTGCAGTCGACATCTTCGAACGGCAGAGCCAACAACGCCAGAGTCAGCGAGGCTTACCGGTGTCGAACGACGTCCACATCAGGTAGAAAGGACTGCAAGAAAGCACGGCTCGAGCCTGCGGGCAAGGAGCGGGCACCCGGGGTAGGTGCGGCGGGCTGTTGGGGTCGCTCCAATGGCACGCGGCCGTTGAGGCTGAACACGTCCTTGTCTGACATGTTGTCGGTTGTGGTATTGGTCGCATCCATCAACAGGTCGAGCCCTTGAGAGGCAGCCAGCTCGGCTGATATGGGTGTGGTTGGCTCATCACCCCCAAACACAGCACCCTCCCCCTCCTCTCCTGCCGCCAAAGGTACCACATCCTCCAGCGACACGGGCCGAACAGCAGCAGCCTCATGCTCGCTGCCATCCGCCATCCCATCCATTCTCTCTCTCTCTCTCTCTCTCTATGAGTCAGTGTGTGTATAAGTGTGTACATGTATAAGTGTGTATAAGTGTGTGTGTGTGTGTGTGTGTGTCTCTCTCTCTCTCTCTCTCTCTCTCTCTCTCAAG